AGAACAATATGTAAATAACAAGGTTGCTTGGAAATATAAATGACATAGGAAATTGACTAAAATTGCAGATTGCTTGTAATTTATATGACTGGAAATGAGTACATAAAAGCTATAAATGAGATCGATACCGCAAGTGAGTAGCAGAGCTAATAAACTAGATAAAAGAAGGCTTTTGGCAAATCTGGTTTGAGCAGAGTTTGTGCCTCTGTTTGTTTGTTTGAGTGTCCCTACTCCTTGTGTTTGGGCTCCTTTAAATAGAGATTTGGAGGAAACCCTCCTGCTGAAGGCACTGCATCTGCCCGAAAGAAACTTGGGCAGTTTGTATTTCACTTGCCAACTTGCATGGAGAAATAATATTAAAAGGGGAACTTGCATTTCCACCACATGCTTTCATCACATGTTTTCCCACTTGTAATAAACTAACATTAAAAATAAGCAAGTTGGCTAGTTGGCTTCTTTCATCACACATTCTTGCCCGAAAGCATGCATGGTGTCTTTCTACCCACTTGCATGAAAAAGCATGCACTTATCTTGATTAAACAATTCTCTTGGCAAACCTCCACCACCCAAACAAATGGGAGAAACAATATTATAATGTCAAATCCCTCCACTTGCATCTAAATATCTTTCTAAGTTAGCTTTCTTGCATATTAATCCTCCAAATGCCATGTTTTACCCAAATTGCCCAAATAAGTAAAAATAGGTATATTTTGAGTGCAAACAAGTTATATAAACAATAAAATCAACGTACAAGCAAAATTATAATAGAACATACAAAATCAACATCCTTAATGCGTCCAAGTTGACATCCGGCTCAATGTATCTGAATTTGCCAAACGGATCGAACACCTTCTTCTTTTTATATACGATGAATATACATCTTTTAAAAAGTGGTTCAAGTCTATCATAGTATTTCAGAAGCAAAGCAAGTACATTATTTAGGGATAGTACTTTAACACCATTTTCCGTAACAAGTTGAACTGTGAGACAAATAGATAAAAGATTAGACCACATATTAAATATGATGTGAGATAATGAACAAAATAGCATTCAAGTAGCACTCACCCATTATGTACCCTCCGGTAGCAGGATCCATCAAGGATGCAATTAAGTGTCCAAATTCTGCTATCGCTGATGCCGTCTTCTCATTGATACTGAGGACTTGTTTAATTGAAATCTCAAGATACTCACATATATGGATAGACCTCCAACTTTCTCCTCGGATACTCATTGTCATTCTTTGAGTAAGAAAGATACCATATTCGTCTCAATTGATTCTCTACATCAAGAATCAAGTAACCTAATGTTGTACTATGAGTCAATTTATAAATATAACTGATTCCTTTATTTATTACTTGCTTAAGATGACTTTCGCCTTTCTTGAAAGTAGTATTTTTCATCTCATACACTCCCATTGTCAAGTCTCGCATGTTTCCAACCCTAGCGACAACAATGTTTCCATTCAAAACATGGACTTTGTTCACATTATCATGGACTGAAAACAACAAAAAAATACAAATGAATACACAATGTTGACAGATTGTATATAACAATATTATCACAAAATATGTCATGGATAAGAAACCCTAATTCAAAATCCAAAACCTCGGAGTTGTGTGATTAACTCTGTTCGAGTTCAGCATATATAAACATAGACTGAGCCTGGCTAGATTCATGCAAGCAACTTTGTAATTTTCAATTACATACATACAATAACTGACTAAACAATAATTGTCACCATTAACTTAAGATTGAAACAAAGAAAGTTAGCAGCACTTTGTTTAATTTCAAACGACTTGACTTACGGATTGATAATGAATGATTAGGTAAATTGGATAAAGCAAAACACATATTGAAAATTTTACCTACTTTACAGACGAGATCAACTTTTTTGGTTCTCCTTGAATCTGATCTCCACTTTCGAGCTTTATCACAGTAATAGTCGATTCTTTGTATTCTCCTTTAAAAGAACATTAAGACAAAGGATAAGCCAGAAGAACATATTATTAAGGTAGACAAACCAACTGATCATATAGTAGCATAAGTCATTCATTTCACAAATTTAATTAAAGGACCGTTAGCTCATACACCAGCACGTTCAACTTGCAACTCTTGCTTATATAGCACCGAAGCAGAAGCAAGATGGGAATTCGAGAACGTGGTTGTGTTCAGAGGGGGGGGGGGGTGTTATTGTGAATGAATTTCCTATCTAACAAACTTTACTTTAAAACGCATATTTTTAGTATATATAAAATAAAATCCTCAATGCATATTGGGTAGAAATTGTAGAAGGAGGTATCTACAAAATCTCATGAAATAATGATCACACCCTGAAAATTGACATTCGGAATTGTAAGCAATAGAAAAATAGGATACACAAGGAAATTATGCATGTACAATATAGTCACACTATGAAACCAATTACACAAATTCTCAGCCAACGAATTGCATCGCAATGTCAATAGGTAGCCTACGTAAACTAGACATACTGAGCAACTAAATATTCTACATCTCATTCAAATACCGTAAGCATAAACAGCAACAAAGTTATCAATCATTTATCTACAAGAAGAAACTTAATTCAACAATTTAAAAATAGTTTAATAGGTACAAGGAGCATCTCAAGACCCAACATTTAATAGGAACAGCTGAAATTTTATTGCTACACTCATATACGTTATATACGATATATATGATATAGTCATCAACTAAAACGCGAATTGCGTAATGTCAACGGGAAGTTAGGCCATACCTACTCACTATACGCTAAGTAAGCAACATTAAAGTAATTTACTTTAGGGTGCTTTAGATTTTGACCCTTACAACTTATTATTTATAGATTAAAACTCATATATCTTTAAAGATTCAGTTTAAGCCCAAATTTAAAATTTGTAAACATATGGGAACACTATTGACCTATTAATACAACTTATTTACACTCATGCCACTCATACTTTATGGTCTCTTTTTCAAATCCCTAAATTTATGCCAAATGAAAAGTAGTAGAAAAAGTGAAATAATATGTAAAAAGTGTTTGCATTAACCGTATCAATGTCAAACTAGAAAAGTAGTTTTTTCTGGGTGATATATTCTGTAGCAATTTATCCATATTAATTGGTAGGTAAATAAGTTTGTTCCAATTATTTAAAAAAAAATGCTACACCTATGTTATATATTTTGAATCAAATAACATTCCTCTAACTTGTAGGTAAATTATTTTCTATGTATTGTTATATATGTTAGACACATTTTGTTGTTGTATAAACATGAGTGGAACATAATATTGTTGATTTTATACATCAAACTGCATTTTTTTTGTTATAGGTAAATTATTTTCCATGTACAAGTACTTATGTTAGGCACGTTTTGTTGTTGGTACATACAATATTTTGTATCATTGCAAAGAAAGATATTACATTACACCCATGGTATCATTGTTGTAGGTAAATTATTGGAAATTAATTTGTAGTTAGGTAATGAACATTTTTCATCATTGGAAATGAACATTTCAAATAGTAGGTTGGTAAATTAATTTGTTCTAATTACATAAAAAAAATTACACTACACCTAGTTATATTTAATTTTTCCAATTATTAAAAAAATTATACTACACCCAACCAAATAACATTTCTCTAACTTGTAGGTAAATTATTTTCCATGTATTGTTAGATATGTTAGGCACGTTTTATTGTTGTATAAACATGGGTGTAACATAGTATTTTTAATACTATGTATCGAACTACATTTCTTCTTAATATAGGTAAATTATTCTCCATGTATTAGTACATATGTTAGGCACGTTTTGTTGGTGGTATAAACATTATTTTGCATCATTGTAAAAAAGAGATATTATATTACACCCATGGTATAATTGTTGTAGGTAAATTAATGTGCATGTAGATAATGAAATACAATGTTCTAATATATTAATAAAAAATTGATAAATTCAAAAGTATTCAAGAGTAGGGTGAAAAAAACTTAATCGAATAGTTTTATGAAAATTCAAAGCCTTTCTAAAAAATTAATATGCAATAAATTTTTAACATTAATGTCTTTTTTTTTCTTGTTGCAAAATTATTTACTCTCTCCTTACAATTAATTTTAATTGTCTACATCAAATATGTAATAGGGGTATTTAGGCATGTGAAAAATGTAAAATGTGTGAAGTAATATGAAATTAATGAATTTGCTTATGTGGATCCTAGTCATTGGGTTTTTTTTTAGTAAAAAGGTTATGTAGGGTTTTATATGAAGAAAATTGAGTTTGAAGGACTAAAGTCATATTATCGATCACATTCGAATGCTACAATGCAGACGACATCAACTTCTGAATCATTTTTGTATGTTTCTACAAACAATTCAGTTCAGTTCAATTCAATTATGTGCAAATTTAAGATTGCAAAAATGGATATATATTACCGTTAACGGCCACATTTTGTCCGCTATTCTGCCCCTGGACGGATTTCGCTTGGGCTTCTGCTTCTCCTTGGATTGCGCGGCGGAACATGGCAACGGATTCCTGGACGCGGCCGATCACGGGAGCGGATCTGTATGCGCGGCGGATCATGGCTTTCTGCGAGTAAGAGAAACCTTTGCTATTGCTCTTTTTCTGACAGGGAGAGAGAGGAGCACGCCAGAGAAAAAGTATTATGAGGGTGTGTTCTTTCCCTTACGCAATACTTGTTCCTAAAGAATAGGAATTATTATCAACTACGTAATGCAAATCCTAAAACCAAAATAGTCTAACCCTAGTGGCTAGGAAAATCCTGTTAACTTTAACAATCCATCAGTCAATATCCGAAAATGAGCAATACCAAAGAGAAAATTTTTATTGTAACGGGAACACGATACCACGTGTTTTTATGTAAGTAATAGGAAATTTTATTTTTAAGTTAATAACTTTTTAACACACATATCTCACTATTTATATAATGACACATATTTTTTGATACACATATCCCACAATTTATATAATGATACATAATATACCACCGATGGTCACATTGAAAAATCTCTCCGATACAAAAAAATCTCTCCAATACAAGTTTTCTGGGTCTCTATCACTCGCAGAGAGCCATGATCCACCGCACTTTCAGATCCGCTCCCGTGATCGGCCGAGTACAGAAATGCGTTGCCATGTTCCACCGTGCAATCGGCGGACAAGCAGAAGCCCACGCGAAAGCCAAGTCAGAATCGGTCCAGGAGCAGAAGAGAGGGACTCGTAATCGTCGTATTCGTAAGTTTTTGTTTTCTTTTAGGGTTTATTATGCACTTAATTGGCTTCTTTTAGAGAGTTCATGTAAATAAATTGTAAAGTGCTACATTTATTTATTTAGGGGTGGTTAATTCAGTATAATTTTCAAATTACTTTTTCGTTTGCTGCTAAACGAACAATGTTTAAATTTGTTTTTGGCTGAAGCTTGTATTTCATGCCAATCTAGCTCTACATCTGTCATATATATCCATTTTTGCAATCTTAGATTAGCATATAATTAAATTGAACTAAACTGAATTGAACAAATTGAATTGTTGTAGAAACATAAAAAATGATTCAGAAGTTGATGTCATTTGTATTTGCAAGCATTCGAATGAGATTGATAATAAAGTAAATTACTTTAATGTTGTATGATACTTTAGTAGGTATGGTCTAGACATTACGTAATTCGTGTTTTAGTTGATTACTATATTATCATTTATAACATGTAAGAGTAGCAATAAAATTGCAGATGTTCCTATTACACGAGCCTTGAGATGCTCCTCGGTCATTCCCCCTCCCCCTTCTTTTATTTATATTTGACTCTAAGATGGAATTGCAAAATTCAAACAGATCACAAGGCAATAGAACCAAAAATTCGTGGAGATGTAACCAAAAAACCAGAGAGTCGTGGTGAAGTGATTCGTATGGGACGTGCCAGTCTTGTGGATGATCCTGTTGCGGTGTGGCCCAAGGTATGCTTTTCATTTTACCCTTTGCCTTTACTTTCAGCGCCTGTGCATGGCTTCTATTTGGTTAGCAGTTTAATTGAGCCTGTAGTTTGGTAAATAAAATATCCATCTGCGTACTATCCTTGAAGTTCAATTCGGTTGCTACCAGATAAAATGTACCCCCACCCTAGAGTATGTATTTCAGTTGTAACTCTATGGGGTTTGTTGTCGGAACAGAGATTAAACTATTATTAAATGATTGATAACTTTGTTATAAAATCCTCTCCCCCTCCCCCAACAACAACCCTAGAGTATGTATTTCAGTTGTAAACATATGGGTATTATGTCGTTACAGAGATTAAACTATTATTAAATTGTTGAATTCAGTTTTATTTCTTGTAGATATTTGTTGTTGGCTGAGTATGTCTAGTCTACATAGGCTACCCGTTAACATTGCGATGACATTGAGTTGGCTGAGAGTTTGTGTACTTGGTTCAATAGTGTGACTATTTTTGTTGCTTATGAATGTCAATTTCCGAGTGTGATAATTATTTCATGAGATTTTGTAGATACCTCCGTCTACAATTTCTACCCCATATATATTGAGTTTTTTTCTGTCAGCAAAATCTCCATTTCGTCTTTGCTTTTTGTTACCATGCAAGATTTTATTTTCTCAGCAAACTTTCTGCTTGTGGTACTTTTTTAAAATTGAAAATATGCGCTTTAAAGTTTCATAGCGGAAATTCATTGTTTGTAATTTTCTTTCTTAGTTTTGGTAGACCGTCTTTACAGTTGTGTTGCCGCTAAACAGTTTTTTAGTGGAATATATTAAGCAGGTGGCATGGCTTTGCTAAGCTTACTTATTTAAGCTTGAGAAAGCAAACGGTCCTTTAAATTAAATTTGTGAAATGAATGACTTATGTTACTCTACGATCAGCTGGTGTGTGTACCTTAATATCATGTTGTTCTGCCTTATCTTGTGTGTTGGGAATATGGGCCTTGATGTGATTTTTATTCTTTTTGTTTTTGGTTGTTAATAATGGCAGGAAAGAAGGACTTCGAAGCAGAATTAGCAGCAGCAAAACTTAAATATGGTCCTTGTGGAGTTTGCGGAAAGGAGAAAGACCACAGGCTTGCTGATTGCCCTTACAAAAAACATATCCCAAACCCTCTGGAGGTAACTGTTCTTGATGGTAGGTATGGAATAGTTTGTAAGTGTTGTGGTCAACCTGGTGGGCACCCTGGTCGCCGGGGCTGGACTGGACGTGCTATTCTCAAGTTTTGTAGCCATTGTATAGTATGGGGTGAGCACTGGACTGCAGATTGCCCGTGTGTTGAGCCCGATGAAGTTGAGAAATGGAGAAAGGACATTAAAGAGGTTGAATGTTATTGTTTGAGAGAGGAACCCGAGAAAGAAGAATTTCTGGACTTAGAACCATATTTTAGGGCCGTGCAAAGGAAGGATGAGGAAAATGAATATGATGCTTGAGGAAAGGAATGAGGGACGTGGAGCCTGGGGAACTTGAGGAATCATAAACCGATGCTGCCGCTGCTATTGAAATTTGGAGGGCGCGAAGCTTTCCTTTTTCAGGCTTTTAATTATTATGACTTAAATTAACGTTGAACGCATGTTAGTGTCGTGTTAAATTACTGGTCTTGTTTGAAGTGCCATTACTTATCTGTTAAGTATGAATGATATATGGGAGTCCATTTTACTATCTAAGAGGTTGGTTGGTTGTGGGAGAGCCCCAAAAGATACTGATATCGTTTTACCCTCTCCAAACCTCTTAAGGGGTGTATGTTTTCCTTCACCAAATTTCACTGGAATGGACTAAGGGTTTGTCCAAAGTCCTGTGTTTGTACCCCGTAAGGTCTAGATTTAATGGGACTAACTCTCAGTCGCCTCGACTAAAACTGAAGGGATATGTATACTAAGACTGAACAAGAAGAGGAGGAGAGAAAATGGGGGGAATCATCAACGTCGTCAACGGGTCAGGATGCGCTTGCTCACTTCGCTTTAGCTTAACCCGATTTTTCTTTTTTGTTTTTGTATGTGTTAAATTTCCAGATCATTGATCTCTATGCTGGGTTCGTCCTATCCACATCTCTCATCCAGGTAACTCTATCATCCCAATTTTAGTTTGGGTGTCTAGAAAATTCCGAAAATTATCATTTTGTAGAGATCGCGATGCCCCATTTTGATGCAATCTCGAGGAAATGAGTTTTGTTTGTATTGATCTGAAACTAGTTAAGTTCAAAGTGAAATGACGCAAGCTATATCAAATGAGAAAAATGACTCTCACCAGTGACTTAAAAATTGATTTAGTTATCCAAATGTTATCGTACAAAAAGCAAATGCCAGTCCAATAAGTGAAAATGTGCAACATAATTATATATTCGCCAAAGTAATGATTAATCACGTGATTTAGGATATGTATGGGCTGGAAATTCATCATCACACCGAGTGTGAACTTGTTAATGCATGATGATGGGACGGTGAAAATCAACTTTACAGGACATTTTGCCCTCCTTGGCCCACAAATTCCTTGAATCCAAGAATCAGCCAACTCCTCAGCATATATCCTTGCATAGAGGAAAGACTCTGGGTTACCCCTGACTTCTAGCAATGTATATCATTTCTTACAGAGAAAGATTCCAAAGCCTTTCAGTGTTTGTTCATCAATGAATTTCTAAATTCATCTAAACGGACAACAAACAAAATCAGGTGGTTTAATGAGTACTTAGCTTAACATTAAGCATTCGTATGTTCACAAATATCAAACATGAGCTTAATTTCAACACAAATGCATAATTTCAAATTGAGATATACTTCCCCACATCTCCCAGTGTATATGATGAATATAAGAATTTTAGACTATTAAACAAAAATGCAATGTTGGTTGATTGTGTGAGTTACGAGAAGACTTAAATACTAAAAACGGAAAAGAAAAAGGAAACAAAAGATCAAACCAAAATCAATAATAAGATTTATATTCTGGTTGAACATGGGTCTCTATATAAGCATATTTGATGATTTGAAAGTCAAAGCAAAAACCTTTGGCTTTCTATGCCATATTAGATACCTCTACGTCTTTTGCTCATTAGACATTCAATATTTATCCCACCATGTTATAAACTAGATCACACTCATATGATGAATCGTCAGAAAGAAAGATATCCCAAATTCATGGGTTTTGGATGCAAGACTATTAATTAAAACCACGAAACGCACTTGGGTGGATCAACTAATTAACGAAATGGTTGACATTCTTGTTCTTTTCAGTTAATTGGAATTATATGTACTACAGAAACAAGAATATGCAATTAGATATCATCAAATATAAAACTCTTGAAAGAAATTTACAAGTATAAAAACAGATATTACTAGATCAAGCGGTCCTGAATTTACCTTTTTGTCAGAAGTGAATTCATGACCGAGACCAGTCATAGTAATAACTTACAATAATAGAGTCAGCTGTATTTGGAATAACATGATTCCCATGTACATGCTGCACAAACTTTTCCATGTCTGCCACAACTCCTTTCTCTTTTCGGAGTTCTCTCCATCTAGAGAAGCCAACACCCCCACAACAATGAAAAATTAAAAAGTAAATTATGGCCGTCAAAGTGAAACTATAGAATGACAATGGTTTAAGAAGCCTCTTCATAAATGGGGGTAAGGTTAGCCGACATTCACCTCTTCCAGACCCTACGTAAAACGGGAGCCTTGTGCACTGGGTACGACCTTTTACTACCAGCCTCTACGAAGCAATGGATGACTTTATTTTTGTAAATTAAATATAAAAAATACAATGGAAAAGGTTGAAATTGGAAAAGAATAACAAAGAGAAAAACTTATAAAACATATGTAGATATCGTAATTGGACTGTAGAAAGGAGCAACTTCCACTGCTAAAGGATACACGTTGGTCGATTATCAACTCAAAAACATTTCATTAACGATGCGTATGAATTAAGACCACCACCACTCCAAGGTCTACTTCAGAATATGCAAAGCATTTGATTAAATCATGTTCCATTGAAAGCTTTTTAACTTAAGCCTCACTCAAAAGCATTGTCTGTGAGCCAGTAATTCCCATAACATGCAAATCAATGTTAAACTCTTCCTTGAGGCTAGCTATATGCATAGATTTGAAAAATTAAATTTTAATGAATTGCCCAGCCAAATAAAAGAAATTCAAAGTACCTGGTTTTCATCAAAGTATGGTTAATAAGCAAGCAGCAATGTACAACTTATGACGAACATAATGAAAGTCAGAGAGGATAACTCAATTGGGGGCCGTAAAACCAAATTTTGAATTGCATGTGGCTGTAAATGAACAACATGCATGGCCTCAAAATGTTTTTGACCATTCATTTGGCCGTGTTTTCTTTGCACAAACTAGATGTGGATATCCCACCACATAAACAGGAGAAGAATGAATCAGTACATCTTGCTGCTTTCAAAAATCTTAAATCAGACTAGGATGGGAACTCATTTGCAATAACCAAAAAAGGCCACCAACAAAGCACGCAAAACAACAAAATCTAACAAAACTGAGCACCTCGAAATTCTAAACTCCAAAGTGTCATAAATATTTTCAATGACAGATGATCTTACATATATTATACAAAAGCCTTATAATAACAGAAGAAAAAGTGAAATTAAGTACCTGATCCCTTAATTGATCTAATAATGTGACACCAATCAGAGCAGGTCGGATATTGCCCACTGCTATTACGGTTCTTGAAAGATATAATCTAAAATGGACAGCTCTCGGAGCCCTAATACAATCCTCCCGCTTTATCACTACAGTAATTTTGTACTCAGTACAACCATGAGCAATTGCACACAAATTAATGTTTTGCCTGCATTTCGTAAAACAGATTAGATCCCTTCGTATTGTAAATAATGGATTATGAGAAACGCGTAGAATCAAAGTCTACAGTAGCCCGTATTGTAAACCAGTGTACAAAACATGAAATGTTAAATCAAATAAAATAATCCAACTTGTTGCCAAAATTAACAAAATGATAAAAAAATCCCTAATCTTTGCCAGTGCATTGAAAAGAGTTGCACTAACTCTTGGAGTACAGGCAATGTTTTGGCCAACTCGTGCCGAAATACTACAGTTTGGAATGACTTGAACCTGAAAGAGAAGAGGTGCCAGAAATTCGTATTAAAAAATGAACACAAAGACACATTCAAACATATGTAAAATAAAATAAAAAATAGCGCGCAGTAAAAATTTCAATGTGGGAATCGGTTAAGAATGGAATAAACTAATCAGTATTCACATGGAATAAAACATATCTGAACATAAACCAACACATATTTTAGGACCGTGCAAGGGAAGGATGAGGAAAATGAATATGATGCTTGAGGAAAGGAATGAGGGACATGGAGCCTGGGGAACTTGAGGAATCATAAACCGAAGCTGCCGCTGCTATTGAAATTTGTTTGAAATGGTACCAGGCATGATGTTTAGGTTGATAATGTTTGATAAAGCGTGAAACTTTCAATAATGGTTTCAAGAGGTTTCTGTGATTTCGAGAGAGAGAGAGTGTAAGAGTCTGTGTATATTTCATATGAAGAAAAAAAAGAAATTAGAAGGACTATATTCCCCATAGCTGGTCAAAAATTAGATCCTACATTTTAGGGACCTAGTACTCATCTTCGGCCATTAAGGTCATCGGAGGATATCTACCATCCACCTGGAGGAAGATGGGAAGACCTAGTACAAACATATAAGATAAGAACACCAGCTGTAATCTTTCTAAAACTAGAAAATGAAACAAGCCGTTGTATTTTGAATTCTAACGGCTCCTTCTAATTTTAGCAAGTTCTTCATTTCTCTAAACTTCTCAGCTTCCATTCGATTTCAACTACAGGATTAACTTCTGCATATTAACTCCAAAGCTAGTAGGCAGCTTAATTCTCAACTGCCTCTCCTAAGCTGCTTACTGGCTTCACTCCTAACTTCATCCTCAAGTAATTGAATTGCTTTTTAGGCAAAGCTTTTGTAAATATATCTACCAGCTATTCTTCACTTCTGCAATATTTCACATCAATGGATCCTTGCTGTAATGCTTCCCGAATAAAGTGATATTTCCTATTTATATGTCTGGTTCTTGAAAAACTGGATTTTTGGCCATCGATATTGTTGACATGTTGTCACAAAACAATGGTGTTGCTTCAGTTTGCATTTCACCAAAATCATCCAACACAAACCTTAGCCAGATAGCTTGAGTTGTTGCCTCAGCTGCTGAGATGTACTCAACTTTTGCAGTTGACAATGCAACTGTGTTTTGCTTGACTGAGGCCCATGAAAATGTACCACTACCAAAACTGAATGCATACCCAGGTGTGCTTCTACTGTCATCTTCACTGCCAGCCCAATCTGAGTCACAAAATCCAATCAAAACAGCATCCTTGTCCCTTGTGAATTCAATGCCATAGCGGAGAGTACCTTGAATATATCTAAGAACTCTTTTAGCTATTCCTATGTGCTTCTTCGTGGGACCATGCATGAATCTTGATAACAAGCTGGTTGCATACATTATATCAGGCCTGATTGCAGTTAAATCAAACTGCCAACAATTTTCCTAAACAAACCTTCATCAGCCAGCTCACTTCCATCAACTTTCTTCAGTTTCTCACCAGTGGGTAGGGGAATTGTCACTGACTTACAATCCTCAAGGCCAAACTTTACAAGTAAGGACTTTGCATACTTGCTTTGATGAATGAATACCCCTT